ATATATTATATTTCTTCTCTTTTGTATTGCTATAATTCTTTATATAGTTTTTCTATTTGTGCCTTTGCTTCTTCTTTGGTAGTAAGATTTTTTCTAGCATATTCAACTAATATTTGTTCTATATGAATTGATAAATCTTCATCAGTTTTATTCGAGAGACTCTCTGTTTGTGCTTTGGCTTCTTTTTTACATCCTTTAAATTCTCTTTCATCGATTGTTACTGAGTATTTCACATAATTTTTTGTATTCTTGTTGTTTGAACTTGTTATCTTTATTGTTATTATTAGATAACTTGGTCTATCTCTTAATTTTGCATTAGTTGTTATATCAAACTCCTCTATAATACTAATTATCTCTTCATTAATGATGAACTAATCTGAAGATATTCTTCTATTCAATACTATTTTAAATTTATGATTGTTTCTTTTTCTAAGTTCTAGTTCTATATAGTAAATATAATTTGTCTATACTGTTTAAGTTTCTTGTGAAGAGCTTCTAGTCTTGTCTTTGCTTTTTTTATTGTGCTAGATCTTTTTCTAGAATATTCTAATAGATTTTGCTTTATATAACTTGCTGTTTTCCTACTATTGTTGCCGTTTGTTGTTGTTTGTAATTGTTTACTATCTTTGTTTATCTTTATTATATAGTTTTTGACATGTTTTTTTTGTTTATTTTTGTGATTTTTGTATTACCAAAACAGATCTGTAATTCAGAATCAAGACTGATTTCTCCAAAATTTTGTAATGTACAAAAAAATATTAACAATTTTTTATAACTTCTTTTAGTTCTTTGTTGCTTCTGCTCTTTTTACTTAAGTCTTTTAAAAGACGAAGTATTTTTTATAGTTTTTTCCTTTTTTTTTAAAACTCTAAGTTTAGTTTTCTAATAGCTTTTGTGTAGTTTTTGTAGTTTTTTGTTAATTTCTGTTTTCAAAAATTTGTGTTTTAATAATCAGTAGAAAGAGTTGTGTTTATTTTTGCTAAAAAATAATTTTTTTTTTTTTTTTTTTTTAACGTCTACCCTCTTGGGAGCTAGGATTTTTATTCAGGTATATATAACGAAGGGTTCTCTAGGGACCCCTACATTTTACATAGCTAAAAAATAATTTTTATTATCAACTAATAACTATTATAATATAATATTATAAGTTTTATTTTTAAGATATTAAAATTAAGAAAAGGCTAGTCAGTATATTATATATTTTATGTGTTTTTCTATAAAATTTCTATAAAATTGCTAATAATTTAAAATTTTAATTAGATAACCCTATTTTATAATATAAATAAAATATTTTTTTACAATTTTAATTACTTTAATCCTAATTAACCTTAATTTTAACTTTAATCCATTTTTGTTTTATATTACTAGTTTAGTTTGCTATAGATATATAAAGTATACCAGTATACTATTTAGATATTTTTTAAACTTACATCTCTTAAACTAAATTCTAGATAAATTTGTCTAGAAAATTAAATTATATTTAGTATTTTTTAAATAAAATAATAATTAATTAATAATATAAAATATATATTTATTATAAAGGCATTATTTTATAGTGACCCATCACCATGGTGACCTATTGCCCTGGCGACCCCATGATTGACCAATCAAAATTGATTATATGCGTCAGTGACTAGGCAAAATCATACAAACTTAAAAAATTTTTTTATTTATAAAAAATTTTATATTTAAAAAATCTACCCGCCTACCTACTATATTTATATACTTAAAAAACCCACCTACCCGCCCAAAATAATGCAAACATGATGACTTTACAACAAAGGTGAAAGTTGTAAACATTCCAACGATGCATTTATAGATGATTCTGGTGAAGAATCTAACCAAAAGTTCAAGTATAACTCCAGTGATGGCTCTAGCAATAACTCTAGCAATGACTCTAGCGACAACTCCAGTGATGATGAAAGAGTTCAAAAAGATGAAAAAAAAATAGACAAAAAAAAAAGAAAGAGTAAGAACAAAAAATAAAAAAATGAAAAGGAAAGGAAAAAACGAAAGAATGAAAAGAAAACAAAAAACCAGAAAGAAAAACAAAAAAAAAGAGAAGATTGAAAGAACAAAAAAAAATAAAAATAAAAAAAAGAGAAAATTGAAAGAGAAGAGAAAAACAGAAAAGAAAAAAAATAAAGAAAAAAGGGTAGAACGAAAGAAGAGAAGGATGAAAAAGAAAATACAAAAAAAAAGAGAAGACAAAGAAAAAATGAAAAAAAAGAAGATGAAAGAAAAATGAAAAAGATGAAAGAAAAGAAAATATAAGAAAAAAAAGAGGAATAAATAAAAGAACAAGAAATTAAACAGAAAAAGAAAAAAGGCCAAAGTACAAAAACCTCTGAAATGCAGTAAACAAGAAACCAAAAGAAAGAGACGAGAAAAAATGAACAAAGAAAAGAAACAGAAGAATAAGACAAGAAAAGAACAAAGAATAGAAAAAAAAGAATGAAAAAAAAAATGAAAGGAGGAAAAAGATAAATGAAGAAAAGAGAAGAAAAAGAAATACAAATATAAATGAAAGAATCCTGGCAATACCTCTAGTTGAAAAAGAAAATAGAATTACTTATTTGTAAAAAAATTAGATTTAGTATACTGTTTTAAAAAGAAGAATAGTTTAGAGAGAGAAAATTGCTATTTAAATATAGTAAAAAATTCTTTTATTATGAAACTTTCTTATAGTTTTAATAACTAGCTTGGTATAGCTCTCCAATATGAGCAATAGCCTTAACTAGTAAGGCAGACCACACTTGGATGCCCATAGAGGAAGCTAAATAATATCAAATCTATAGGTTAGATAGTTTTGAAATGTACTTGAATATTTGCTTTGATCTAATAAAGATATTAGCAAAGCTGCCAATATTAGAAAAAAAAATAAGAATTTTTTTAATATATATAAATTATTACAAGATTATAATATATATAATTTAACTAATTTGAGCTAATTTAAATTTAACTTTAACTTTAATTCTAATTATTTATAAAATTACTTAAATTAGTTTAAAATAATTAATTTATATATATTATAATTATATAATAATTATATATATCTAAAGTGTAGCAACTTAGTAAAATAGTAAAATTGTTATATCTCTAGGTAGCATATCTAGAGTTTTAATTATATCAGTGATAAAAAATTTAAATATTTTAGTATGTATTATAGTTATAGTTTGTTAGCAATTAGTTAAATTGCAAATCTGTTATTAAGATTGTATCAAGTACTGTATTATTTAATATTTAGAAGAAATATTAGATATTCAAACAACATATAAGTTACATAAAGATATGCAAGCAGGTATTAGTTAGCTCAAACTCATAATAAGTTTCAAGAAGCTATATAAAGCTAAAGAATAAAAAAATAGATACTTGCTTGACAAGTTCTAATAAAAGAGATAGTACAAATCTTTAATAGTACTACTAAAATAGGCTATACTTGAGGCTAATACAACTGGATAAGAACTAGATATTCAGCAAGAATACTCTATTAACCAGATCATCAGAGTATCAACAAGAGAAAAAAAATCTGTATACAGATATCAAAACTAGTATTACTTTCAGAATATCTAAATTAGAAGCCTAAAAAACTAGCTAGAATACTAAAAAAGGTATTTGATTTATTTGAAAAGAAGTACTAGAGTTAAATAAACTCTGCAAGAGTAAGGAGTAGGTAATAGTATTGGAGCTAAAAAACCATAAGCAACAGTTCTCAGATTGTATATAAGACTAGCCTATTTTAGTAAGTTTATCTCAAATATAAATTAGTTCTAGATAAATATACACCTATGATAAAATTAGGATCTTAAAAAGATATAGTAGTATAAAGAGTT